TTATTATTATTATTATTATTATTATTATTATTATTAGCATCTTTGGTAATCATTTGTAGAACATCTTCTGCATCCAACTTCTTTAATGCAAACAAATTATTATTTCAGAAAGAAAAATAACACAATGTCTTTTTATCATATTCTAAATCATGTTTAAGAACGTCTCAGCCGTAATAATCCGTCCTCAACGGTGCTCCAGATGAACTGTAAACATATTTTCCCTAGATTAGACGATTTCCTGCTTCTGTCTGTATATAAATGCAATAAGCTTTGAGTTTTATTTTGATCTGTTCTATGGAAAGAACTTTAAGGTTTGGGATGAATAAAGATCACACTATTGTTATTGCTCTAGATTTTTAGTATAAATATGATTGGGAAAAGGTGAAATAGAAATACTGACTTTGCACTAAGCAAGATTGTAAACTAATTGTTTACTTATTTATTGCGAAATGTGTGTGATTATGTAAAACTCACACAGTTTACACCGTGTGAAAGGTTTCAGAAACTCAGTTCCAGCAGCAGATGCTCAGAATAAACATTTTCCCATCCTACAGTGTTTCTTTATAATTAATTACACATTTCTCAATACTAAGCTCACTTGTCAGAACTCTTCACACAGTTCTCTTTACCAGCACCTCATCTCAACAAATGCACTAAAACCACAGAAACACTTCACACACGCCTCAAATTCAAGTCATTCTACCAGAACAACTAACAAAGGTCCTCTCTCAACAAGAACATGTTATGATTCACAACACAATGGCCTGAAAAACACCGACAGCAGGTAACAGTACACAATCGTCATTTTGACTTTGATTTTATACACAAACCAACATTTAACTACAAAACACAGTATTTCTTTAGAGTATAGGAATGAATCAGAAATGCTGCAGTGTACTTCATTGTGCTTTATTTTTTGCAGGATGTAATTACAAAATATTCCAAAATATTTGTTGCACATCTGGTGTTGATATCTGAGATGGTCTAATACCACAGGGATACAAAGGGCAGAAGAGGGGTGGAGTCTGAGCTCAAAGAATTTAAACAGAGACAAGCTGGAGAAAGTGTTCAGAGAACACACACCACTGAGAGAGAGAGGAGAGAAAATAAACAACATGAGCTTTCTACTGCAAATTCTTATCGCTTTGTTTATCTCTCTGCTTGGGGGACTTTACGTGCTTGGAGCCTTCCGTCGTCGAAGGTCTGGAGAACCTCCTCTGGATAAAGGTCCTCTGCCATGGCTGGGACACGTCCTGGAGTTCAGGAGGGACACGGCGAAGTTTCTAGAGAG